CCCAAATTTAGAAGCAACTGATACATTTTACTTCTGCGCAATTGTCACGCTGCCCTGTGAGCTTTTAGCATCTACAGCAACCTGTGTGAACACTGAGGCCCAAGTGCTCCCCACTCATCGCATGCAGTAGTCTGCTTTTTACTGGTTTGAGGTCAACACCTCACAGCGTTGCTTCATCCCTCCCCTCCCGCCGTTGGAGGAGACGGTGAGCAGTCACTTCCCACTTACCCTCTCCTGCCACTCACTATTTTCTAGCCAATTTCACTGCTTTACCTTTACTAAGTTTAGAATTGAAGCCAGCAAGAACCAGAAGCTTCATTCCCTTTATGAGACAACCATGAGAACTAGCAAAGGCTTGTAATAACCTGAAATAAGAATGAAAGATGGGAACAACTGCTTTCCACCTGATAAAGAAAAGGCCAAGCTTATAGCAATTGCCCAATACTAGCAGAATCTAATTTAAAATGTTTCATTAACAGCATAATCCAAGAACAAAACTTTAGACAAAAGCACTGAACACTGATCAGATCTCCTAATGTGAGCCTATGGAAACAGGCTCAATCCTGCAAAGTACTGATCAGAGCTCACAGACCAAAACACTAGGTCATGTGCTTAAATTTTAAGAATATGAATATTGCCATCAAAGCTGAAGCAGGAGCCTATGCTCCACTTTGCTCCATCAGAATGGCAAATAATTAGTAACATCGAACCCATCAGTCGCATATGAACATCACCCCTGAGCAGCGAGTGGAGCTGCAGGTGCTCTGCTGGGTCTTACCAGGACCAGTGCATTTGTCAGATGTTTCAGAATAAGACTGCTCCAGTTTTCACTAAGCCTGCGAAACTTAAAGTACCATTTTAAAGTAATTCCACTTTTCTACAGAAGTATCTTTACTAGGACTTCTAGGGACTTCAAGCTTTCAACCACAATTTGTATAACCTAAGCTGTACCAATTACACATGCCCAGTTCTGGACATGCTGCTTCACGTTTTATCAACTATATGTTTTAAAAGCACAACAGTGCTCTCAGAGGTACACTGGGGCTAAACAGGTCAGAAGCCTAGTTTGTAGCACAATTTCGACCAGCAAAAATGGCAAAGCTGCTCCACATAATATTTGCTTTTATGAAAGTTGTGATTTCAGCTTTTGAGCTAGTGTGTCGCAGCGAAGGGCCGGAGTATAGCACAGGGCTTTGAATATGCCTTATTTTCCTAACCATCTCTTAGGAACAGTGCCATGTCAGACACTGGAAAGTGTGTCCAGTGACGGAATTTTTTGTGCTTTTAAAGCATCATTTTGGAACATTTACAACTGACTATTCTTTTTCTTATTAAAATGTCTGTTGCCTTAAATGTCCATGAATATGGCACATTTGACCATAATCAAACTGCACACATAAACACACAAAACTAGCAAATTACAAAACAGATGAAGAATCTGATTTTTTTTAAAAGCTGTAATTCTGTTTCTGTTGAATTTCTTTCTCAAATAAGTGTTTCTGTGCTTTTAAATACGAAATTGTGAACTCATTTGTACAGAATGCTAAAATTAAAAGTTCAAAGAGGGAACACTCACAATGTGGTATTTGCAGCACAGAATTTTCTAAGCAAGCTTGTAATCCAAAGAAATACTTTACTCCACCCAAAATTTGCTTTCTCTCTGTCTCAAAAGTCCAATCATTAATTTTGATATAAATGGTATGTTCTTTACTTTCTTTTATGTATCTTTTGGATATACTAGTGTGCCAACTAAGTATACAGAGATAAGACACTGTGAAAATAAAAGCAGATCATAATCCCCCCTTACCACCCCCAAAAAAGGGGGGGAGGATCTGCAGTTAAAACACTAAGCAGCTAAGATCCCACTATGATTTTGATTCTAGACTTGAGACTCTTGGAATGTGCTAAGCCGTTTCACAAAGCTCATTTTTCTTACAGGAAGTGATCTAATATACAAAGTACTTTACAATTTTCAATCAACAGAAATACAGATATGAATGTATTAAGCCAATATCTATAAAGCAAGACATTAGGTCACTTCCTGACAACTAATATCTAAAATCGACATTTGTTACTGCACGAAAGCGTGCTTATACAGCGTTAGTTGAAACAAGAACTTTGTATTTTTACAGAGTGGGTATATTGGCTATGCTACCTCTGTAATCGTTGCTGATGCATAATCCCTTCCCTGCCACTCCCCTCTATGTCACCCTCCAACATCCCTTCCTCACAGCTCCGGCACATTTCAGCACAGTACTGTTAGTTAGAAAACAAGCTTTTTTTTTTTTTGCCCTTTTTTTTTTTTTTTTAATTGGCAGATTCAGAAATCTTTCTGTGGTAAAACAAAAACTTGGTTAGATAGTCCAGCAGTGAATTTAAGAAGCATTTTGCAAAGGTTTGGGTTTGGGGTGTTGTTTTGTTTGGGGTTTTTTTTGGGGGGGGGGAGGAGGGAATAGAAAAGGAAGGGGACTGTTCGTTTTTCAAAGCAGCTTGACAAAAACATCCCTCTCAAGAAAGAAACAGGCCTCCATCAAAAGGGTGTTGGCAGAGGAAGAGGGGACGGACCTGGCAGTAATGGAAGTCTGTTCCATAACAGGAGGCTCACAGCACATTAAATTTTTATAACAAGCAAACGTGTACCTGGTCTGTGACCCCCACCCCAGCTTGGCTGAACTGGGGAAACATTAACAGCACTGACATATTAAGCATACTGAAACCTGGCAGGGTGTGAATGTTGCAAGAAAAGCCTGCTGTGCCAAACGCCAGGTAGATACCTGCGAGTAGGGAAGAGACAGAAAGTGGAGCGAGAGATGGAGAGGCCGGAGAGGCCGTCCCGCAGCCGCGCCGAGCGACGCACGCCAGGCGGCCACGCGCCATTTACTCGCTGGGTTTTTCTCAGTACTCAAAGTCTCTCGCCGAACAATCCTAACCACAAAGCAAGCTGTAATCTAAAAATCAAGCCGCAACTTGCTTTAATGTTGAACCAAAACTGCGATGACTAAGAAACAAACCCAATGTTGCTGAACTGGCTATGGCTGCCTTTTCTGTAACATGCATAAATGTAGGTTGATCACTATCATTTAAACTGGAGTTTAAAATTTTTCCCTTCGGTATTCAATTCTGGTTGTTTGTCAACTATATGTGGCACATATATCAATTTCTGATTTGAAGTTTTTACTCTAAACAGAAATGCTCGGCTACTACACATCGGTCAATACAAACAAGAGGTATTTTCCAGTGGAGCAAGAACTGAACCAGTGTAAGGTTAAAGACACAACGGCACGCTGCTGTCTCTTATTCATCTGTCTTTGGTGGTTTGTTGAGCTATATAGGATTGATATTCAGCACAGATAAGCATGTAAAGAGACAGCTATATACATTTAAAAATAAGTAACTTCAAAAAACTATGAAGACGATGCAAAGGAAAAACAAAACTAAGAAAATAGGCAGAAATCCAGTCCAACCAGGTATGAACCCGACTCAGTACAAACCACCTAAGCTTACAGTAACTTTCTGAAGAAATAGATGAGTCCAAACTATCTTGATTGCATAGTCAGCAATTTCCTATCTATCAGAAATGACTTAACTGCTTAAGTAACTTTGTGCCTCTCCTACCCAAAGGCCTTTCCCTGTAAGCAGTCTTGCAGCATATTACAAGTAAGATTTTTGTGGTCCTCTGAGAAGCTCAGTGACTGCCAGTCACTAAACAACTCAATAAATCCTACTACTATTCTGCACAATAATCAAAAGTAGTCGTCTATAAGCCTTGACAATGGAAATCTCACACTTGCTTAGAGAATTTTACCCATAATTAGTAGTTTATCCGGAGAACTCACTTCCTAAATATGACATGTACACTACATATAAATTTTATTTAAAACAACTTTCAATAAGATTTACAAAATAGCTACAAAAATAAAGCTGTGCTTATGAATTGTGTAAGTTAGATGCAAATTCCAGATGGAATGGGATCTCCACGGTTTAAAAATATCATCAATCCAGGAAGGAAGTTTAGCTCCAGTGGATACTTCATCAATGTAAACTCTGTTCAGGTCAAACTTTCTAGACAAAAAGCTACAGTAACTCCACACTCAACAATTTACTGCTAGAAGAAAAGCTGGCATGTTGTTAAATGGTTCCTCACTCTTCTGCTCATTCACTTCACTATGAGTTAAAGTACATTAACGAAATGTTCAACATACATACTGTTTAGGTGATAACATTCATTCTTCCAAGTATGTTCTGGTGACAAATACAAGCTTAAAATCATGATGGCTGCCTTTTTTGTCTTTTTAAATCACATCATGCATCTTTCTCTGCCATCTGTTTAAAACGGATTTAATTAACTAGGAAAAGTCATGTTTTCTTGTTTCATCCTATATGAGATTCAGAAATCGACCAGGACAGTGCTTATTTCAGTCTTATTCCCCATCTAAGTTGCAAATCCTCTGTATTTTATTGCATTAGAACATGGACTTTGTGGACGTGGAAGGTTTTTTTAGTCATTCTATGGAAAAGTGTAAAATATACAGAATTGATTTAAAACATTTCTCGTTTTAGTTCTATTTTTCTTTAGCCAAAGGCATCAGTTAAAACTATCTGCCAAAGTACTACCTTCAAATAAGAGCCTTTTAGCCTTTTATTCCTTTATATGCTCAGTTTCACTACAGAATGGACAGACAAGCTGTACATATTTATTCATAACCATAGAACACCTTAAATCGGAGTTAGAAATGATGGCTTTTTTTCCTTATAACTCTCATTCTTAGATGATGCTGCACTCTGCAACACAGCTGGATTTCATAATGTAATTCGAAAAGCTAGAAACTACATTTAAGGTAACATGCATACCTTGCTTTTGATCTCAAATGTGAAGCTGCCTTGAGCTGAACACCAGTCATTCTACAGTCACCAACCAAATACTCATTCTTAAATTTGTTCCTCTTACTGAACATTTTGAAATAGTGATTTATTTTCTCTTCTCTAGCCTCTTCACATACCTATGGTTTCTGGCAGGTCCAAGAGCTCATTGTGCTGCAAGTCAAGGTTGGTGATCTGCGTGCAGCTTCCAATCTCTTCTGGAAGATGTTCAAGCTGATTGTGCGCTACATCCAGCGTTATGAGGTTACACAACTCACCTAAAAGCATACAAGAAAACCAAAATATCAAGTTCTTTAATGTACAGCTCTAGACAAATGACTTCCACACAGAGATTAATAGATCAGACAGACTTGGGGATAATCTGAAAAAAAATATTGCTACCATGAAGTTATACATATAAAACAAGGCATTACAGGATCATAATTTCATCGGTCAGATCTAAAACCTGATCAACAATTTTTAAAAACTCAGATAAAGCATTTATATATTCTCTGAAGAGATCTTACTTATTTATTGATTTTCTTCTGACAGTTCAAGCTGTTGAATAAGAGTACAAAACCTATACTTTACACTTGCTTCAGGCTGACCAGAAGTTTAAAACATCACGAAGTGAATTGTATTGAATTTTGAGAAATTGAGATCTGGTTTTATACCATTAAATACTTTCAGGCACAAAATCAACAATTAAGAGACATCAAAATTATTTGGCTGACAATCTAGATAATCCACCCAAAGTCCTGAGTGCTATTTTTAATAATTTTTAGTCATCACAAAAAAAAGGCAACATATGACAAGTAAACTGTAAACCTATTTACACAGATTATTATATCTATATATGCAAGCAGAGCTATAGCAAATAAAAGTTTGAAATAAAAGGCTTATCTGTTAAGCATTTAAAAAGATTGGACTTGCTTAGAGTTTAGAGCTACTTTACACTGAACTGTTTCATTCTGAACATTTCACATTAAAGTACAGGTAGGCACAACTCTACGTACAGTAGCTTCACCTATTTTAACAACAAATATACTGTGTTCTGAGCAATAGCTTGCTGGATTTAAAAAAAAAAGCGTGTGGATGAATACAGGTGTATGCATTCACATTTTTTGCATCTGATGGAGGTGAAATTAATGCAAATGATTTGAACAGCTTTAACTCTATCCAGTGAAGATTAGGTCATTGTATTTGTGTATAAGAGCATGACTCAGTGAATCACAAATTTGAAGGAGCAGCAAATTCCTTTTGAGGAACAAATGTCTATTTTTTAAGCTTCAATGTTGTATCTTTGACACAATCCTTTAAGGATTTTCCCACAGGCCTGCAGGACAAGTTTAGGCAAGTTCTGACCTGTAGACTCTCTACCCATTAGATCAGCAGATAATCACAAATGGTGATTTAATAAATCATACAATATTTATGAATTCAGACTCTGTATTGAGTTGCAGGTATCATGTAGCCACAATACTTACTACCTATCATGGAAGAGTTGTGAAAGGCCACAAAAAAAAAAAAGCCAACCCCAACAGCTTCATTAGCCTGTTTTTCTTAGATTGTTAATATATAACTGAACTCATTTCCTGCATTTATTAACCCAAATTGGCATTTTTTCTAGAAACTAGCCAGATGGAAATGTATAGGTGGTGCTTAAGCAGCTTTTCCATCACTGTGTGTGTGTCCCCTCTCAAGTCAGCATTCAAGTGTATTCCAGGCAACCAGGGTCAATAGTCAAACATGCTGCATCCAGCACTGCATACACCACACATTTCAATGCCATTAATAAGCAGAAGAAAGAAAACTTAAGAAAAAATTGAGCAAGAGTTAATGTTCTGTGGTAGAAGCCTCTTTCTGTTATTCATGAAAACAAGTGGGCAAAGTGTAGAAGGCAATAGAAGGAGGAAGAAAAGCCTGAGGAAGACTTGAAAATCCCTCCCTTTAAACAAACAAAGAACGCCACAAATCTTTACTAAGATAATTCAAAAACTTTTGCACACTTTGGGGCAGTAGTTTTCACTTCATGGTTGCTGTTTTCATTTGTTTTCACTTAGACCGAAACCAATGATGTCAAATTTGAAATGTGGCATAAATTTCATTTCATCACACTGATTTCTCATTTACTTGACTCTTCCCACTCTACATCTGCTGAAGTCGAAGAAAGACTTGGGCTTTCACAGCAACATTTGCTGCACTTCATTTTTGCACCTGCTGAAAACTTTGACAACAGCAAGCTACGTGTTTGAAACAAACACCTCACTAGCTAATTCTGGGGAGGGAAAAAAAGAAGAGATGCCCATGTTTATTTAGCCAGTTAAGGGCCAGCTAATGCTTTGGTTTATTTTGGATAGCAATACTTAATATCATTATATTAAAGATGCAGGCATGATTTTTAAAAGCAACACTGATAAACATTTAAATAAAAATTTTGAATGTTAAAATAGATTGAGGACTGCCCAATACATTTTAGACTTTAGAACTGAAATCAAGTGAAAGTTAAAGCCTTATCATCAAGTACAGTGACTTAAGGACAGCAATTTCAAGAGATATTATAAAATTTAGCTTTTAGTTCACATTGCTCAGTAAGGAATCTTTGTCTTGGGCATAGTAATACTTAAAGTTTGACAGCATCTCACCAAAATGTTCTTTTTTCCCCCCTAAGGGCAGAAGGACAGGGGAGGTAAAGTACTGTTGGCCCTGAAATTCTTTCAATACTTTAGCTTGGATTGCTGAGACACAACACAGAGAGTGTGCAAGTCAACAAAAAGCACTCAAGGCACATTTCTCCTGTTGTTCTCCATGACATATGGAAAGCATATCCTATATGCTTAACAAGGTGAAAAATGTTTAGGTGATGTGGCAGAGGCTCATCTTCACATGCAAAGGCACACAGAGGATCAGCAGTGGGTGGGAGAACCCAAATACTCCCAGGGCTGTCCCAGGAGAGCCATCAGCCCCATGGTGTGAGACCCATCACAGTGAGTAAATGGAAAGGCTCTCCAGAGCACCTCGCAGACCGAGGGCTGTAACTGCATATGGGGCTTTAACACCTACTATGAGGTGCAAGGAAGAGCAACTTGGGATGGTAAGAATTGCTATGGAATCTTTAGAGAAGGGCAAAGGGAAGAATCAATGTGGTTTAGGAAGGACAAGCGTGGGAAAATAGAGGAATAAGGAAATAAGTGTCCAGTCCTTTACAAACCAATGTTGGTCATGCCCTGTGCCCCATCAGCACCCCCTGCCCTGTCTTCTCCTTAAACTCTAACTACTTTCCTGGGAGAGGGGCTCTCTGTTCTGAGTGCATGGAGATCTGAGTACCGGCAACACTGCAGTTAACGTGACCAACACTACTGAAATCATCCCAGTACGTGGGACCAAAACCACTCTGGGCACAGGGAGCGCGCTGCCACCAGGCCAGAGGCTAAAGAACAGGGGCAGCTCTTTCACCGGCTGACTGACGGCAGTGATTTACCCCATGAATGGACACACTGTGCACTGCACTGCTGCACAACAGCAGCTCTTTCAAAAATTATGCCAGGATAAACACATGGCATAAACAATCGATATAACGAATAATGATCTGCAAGAACAAAGAGGCCAAACTTAAGGCCATCTGCACAACGCTTTTCCTAGGAGCCAATGTAAAGCCAGCTTGTTTCAGTGATTCAAAGTGTCCATCTTATTGTCTGAACAGTGGCAATTGTACTGAAAGAAATGCTTTGCAAAAAAAGATGAAAAGAAGTTTCACCAATATACAACTGAAATCTGGCATTTTTGCTTGGCCAGGGCAAGAAGCATATGTCAAAATCAGAAAGAAAGTTTTCCTAAAAGAAAGATTTGCTCAAATACAAAAAGAAAACTGGCTAATGAGTGAGGATCTTATTCATATTAAAAGAATAAACAGTTGCTCTTTTCTGGTGTACTATATAACCTTTGCTGAAACGCATTTGTATTTTAATTTAACAGAAATACGCCAGCTAGAAATGTGCTGCAGCTCAAAATCAGCCTTACCCATATAGCAGTTTACTAAAGAAAAACCCATTCCCATTCACCATGTGGACAACTCCAGCATCACTTCACCAAAGGACTGTTTGAACACTCAAAATCACTGGAGTAAGGCAAGCACTACTTCAGGGAAATACTAATCACAGGTAAAATGAACTAACTCTTTTCGCCACAAGTAATGGCCAAAATAGACAAATCTTAAGTTCACAGAAGTGAATAAAGGATTCTCTGTGGACTACTTGCAACTGCATTGAAGGGACAAGCATCCTAAGGACAATCAGACAATAAACTAGGAAGGAGCTGGGGTTTGTGGTTGGGTTTTGCCTTCCCCCCCCCCCCCCTTTTTTTTTTTTTTTTTTTTTACATACTATATTGCACAGGGCGGGGGAGGGAATTGAAGCTCAAAATCTGCCAAGAAAGCAGATAGAAATTGCATGTACTAGCTGGCTTGACAATAAAAGATTTTGAATTAGAAGTAATGCCTATATGAAATACATAAAGTAGTTTCTCTATAAATATGTCTTCACAAAATAGTTACACCCTATCATGTAGGTTTTAAAAACTTAAATTTTAAAAGGTTCTACAAGATAAAAATTTTAGATGATTCACATGCATTTTTCAAATAAAATAGTTTGTAAAGACTCCCAACCACCTTCCAGTTAAAAACATTGTTAAAAATACATCTCAACAATCCTTAAAAAAGGTGGGGTAAACAATCACCTTACTGTTCTTCTCATATGTACCGAGACTAAATGTTATAGTATGACAAAGCTAAATATACCTGCTGAAAAACCCCAACATTACGAAATGACTAATGTTGTCTGCATAATGAGACAGAATTACAGTCCCATTACATGGCTAACCTTGAAAGCCTGTTATGACAAGAGGACCAAGTTACATGCCCTGACTTACATAACTCTGAAAATTCTTCTTGGCTATTTAAAAAACAAAATACAGCTTCATTAAAAAAATGTAAAAGTACACACAAATTAACAGTTGTATAGGCAGAGAGTATAGGTCAATAGCAGAGAGGCTTCAGTGTCTCCTACCACTAATTCACTCAGTGGGCAACTCTCTTAGATGGCAAGCACAATTTGTAATATAGCCTGTTTTCCACTGGATTAACTCCATGCCTGTCCATGCTTAAGCAGATTTAAAATTATGAAATCCTTCATGACATCATAAATCCTGGGCCAGATGAGACAGCAAGAGGATCAAGACTCTTATGGAAAGCACAAGGAAGGGCAGAATGCAAATATTAGTG